GCACATAGCAAATACTGGCAGTTGAACTAAACTGAAGTTTTTTTAAAAGGCTACTTTTGTTTGACCAATTTTGTCCTTTTTCTATGTTTATCTCACCTTCCTTTCCTAATGGCCCTTATAAGAAGTTAGCAGGGTCTTACCCTCTTTACATATCATCAGAGTAGAGAAGAAAGTAGAAACTGGTCTTAAAAGTCCTAGGATGAGACCTATAGGAAACATACAATGTCTAGAGGCTCAGGAAAACCCAAACTTAAGCTACCTAGGTATGGCCAAGAAGGCTGATGAATAGTGAGAATGCTTATTAGAAGAAGACAAATAATAAGAAGCAAGAATAGTGAAAAAACAAGAATGTTCAAAAGAAATACTTCCCCAGCTTTAAACCTTCAAAGCAGTGGTGGAATTCAATTCTTTTTACTACCGGTTCTGTGGGCATGGCTTATTTGGTGGGCGTGGCTTGTGGTCATGTGACTGGGTGGCCGTGCTTGGTGGTCATGTGACTGGCTGGGAGTGGCCAACTCAATGTCACTCACATCAAGGGGTGCCTCACCTGGCCCCTCCCCTCCCAGCCGTTCCTTGTCACCCAGCCTCAACTTATCTGTAGTCCTGTAAAAACCTTGTTCACCTTTTTTGACTTTATTATCTGCATAAAGACCACTGAAAGGAGGAAATGGCTCACATGCTTTACCCAAGAGTGTGATAGGCAACAGGCTTTTAAGGGGCCGCCACAAAGAAAGGGGGACAATGTATTTTCTAAAAAAAAAGAACGCAAACAAGAAGCAATGAATGGAAACTGAACAGAGAAGCAACCTAAAACTAAGGAGAAACTTCCTGTGAGTGAGAACAATTAACCAGTGGAACTGCTTGCCACCAGAAGTTCTGGGTGCTCAATCACTGGAAGTTTTTAAGAAAAGACTGGACAGCCATTTCTCTGAAATGGTATAGGGTTCCTTCTAAGGGTTATTCTGACACCTTCCCCAGGATTTCTACTCAGAGTTTGGCATCCTCAGTTTTCTTGCCTGAGCTGGGGGTTGGACTAGAAGACCTCCAAGGTCCCTTTCAACTCTTGTTAAACACATGTGTATTTTATGCTCTGGACTATTTACATTGAATGCATGTAAACCCTGAAAAATATGTGGTAGCCCTGGGCAAAAGAAAGGCAGAAAAATCACTCTAGGTGTAGGGACAGTGTAAAATATTAACACATGATAAATAATGGAACAATTAAAAACAATAGCACAGAGTTTTATCTCTCTCTCTCTTCCTATTTTTTTCTTTCTTTCTCTACCTTCCTCTTTCTTTCTTTCTTTCTTTCTTTCTTTCTTTCTTTCTTTCTTTCTTTCTTTCTTTCTTTCTTTCTTTCCTTCTTTCTTTCTTTCTCTCTCTCTCTCTCTCTCTCTCACACACACACACACACACACACACACAGAACACTCAACAGAAAAGCATTTTGGAAGCAGCTCCTTTAAATTTCTCCAAGGCTCGATTCATCCCCACCCCCTCTGTCAGACTGCATTCCTTCTCACTCCCGACACTTTACTCACACGGGGAAAGCGATACTTGCAGCGTCCATGCCTTTCTTCCTTTTCCCTGGGGAGAAAGAGGACGTGGGGAACGGAAAGCTAGGAGAGCGATCGCAAGTGAGAGACCGGGCGACTGGGTTGGGGGCATGGCCAGCCAGGGATTACCACTGGTTCGGTGACCCATGCCAAATAACCGCTACCGGTTCACCCGAATAGATGCAAACCGGTTGAATAGCACCTCCGATTCAAAGTATATATTTAAAAATCATTTACACTCATGTTTGATTTACATTTGAACATTTGTGCGTTTCACTTGCCCTCAACAGCTCATTTCATGGATTATTTAACACTTGGAGCTAATCTTTATTCTTTTAAATATACTTCAGAGTATAGGCTGGTTTCAAGGATAGCAAAGTACTCCGTATAGCTAATAGAACGTCAAATCTAAACTACCCTCAGAATGAATAAACAATAAAAGGCAGCAGTAAAATTAAAACAACTTTAAATGTTTAGCTCAGACACAAGCTAAAAACAAATTCCATTTAATAGCCCAGTAAAACTTTTAAGAGAAACTAATCAACAATAATATGATTTCAAGGTTTTGGTAAAAGACTCAAAGGATTGGGCCAGACACAGGGGAATTCAAACAGGACAGTCTGACTATGCCATTGTATTGCAAGATACTGCTCTTTTGTGAATGAACTGACATGAAATGCAACATGAATTTCAGCAAACACATTATACATGGAGATAATCAGTCTGGTAGGTATAGGATTATAGTTGTTATCCTTTGCCTGCAAATTTAAAGAGTTGGGGATATAAATAGGACTTTGGATTATTAATTTAAACCGATATGGTTGAAACTTGGTGCTACCTTTTAAGCCTTTGAAAATTAAGGCTGTAAGGTTTTTTTCCCCAATGCAAACTCTCCTTCAAGCTAAACTTAACTCATGGTAATTTAACAGGTATTCCCATGTATTTTTTTTGGCAACAGTATGGAAGCGATTTTCCCATTGCCATCTTCCAAGATTTTTGCAGCTTCCCAGTTTAGCTGATAATACTTGCTTAATTTGCAAATCCAGACTGTTGCCTCCAGAGAAAGCAATATTTTAAAATGAGCTCAGAAATACATCAGCCAAAAGAGCAACTGGTACAGTGTAGAAGTGAGACTTTGATAGCTGAATTCTATATTTGTGGAACACCCTATAAACTATAAACTATAGACAGGGGGTCTCCAACCTTAAACATTCAAAGGGCCATTTGGACCCACTTACCACAGAAAAGAAAACACGGTGAGCCACAAAACCTGGGTGGGTGTGGCCAGCTCGACATCACTCACTCCCACTCAGTCACATGATTCTCCCACAACAACGCCTAGCCAATTTTTGTGGCTACCAGTATTTCTCTGGGAAACTGCGCTCTCTCTCTCTCTCTCTCTCTCTCTCTCTCTCTCTCTCTCTCATCCCTCTCTCTTTCTCCCTCTCTCATCTCTCCTCTCTCTCTCTCATCCCTCTCTCTTTCTCCCTCTCTCCTCTCTCCTCTCTCTCTCATCCCTCTCTCTTTCTCCCTCTCTCATCTTTCCCTTACAATTCTCCCTCTGTTTCTCTCGCTCATCTCTCTCTCTTACTACCTCTTGCTCTCTCTTACTCCCTCAACACTTTCTCTCTCTCATATATCACTTTCTCCCTGTCTCTAATCTCTCTATAGCTAGATTCACAGAGGAAATATAAGGAAAGAGGACATGACAGCTTTTCATA